TTTTTTTTTTTTTCCTTCTCTTTTTGTACAAATTATTAGATCTAAGCGTTCAATTTATTTTTTCATCATGTTTTTCTTGCATTTTACGCTAAAAGTAATTATATTCACACAATAATTTTTTATTAATTGCATCATATTTGAACTACAATGAAATTCGTTAACTTTTACTTGTCTCTGCACATATATCTTCAACTTTTTCTTTACATTCTTAATTTAAAATTTCTATTAAATAAGCACATCTTACTATTTCCATCCAAAAAATATGTAGGGGGAATAAAAAGACCATCAAATGCTTAAATAAGTAAAAAAACACAGTAATCTTCACTTGTTCCAAAGCATGTTAACATAATATTTGAACGGAAATCGCCATCAGGTCAAGATATGTTCAATTTATAAGAATGTAAGAATGAACAAAGATTGAAAATATTTAGCGCAGTTAATAAAAAGGTATAATTATCGTTGCATAAATAACAAGTTACATTGACATTGGTTATTATCAAACATAATAATCTATGTCGATCTTTCCCAAGATCGACTTTGAGATTTTGGTTGCCCCCTATGACATTTTAAAATGATGTCCAATTCATATAATTAAAAATTATATTTCAATAATATTATTTTATTACAAAAAAATAACATTTAAATATTTATTTATTTTTTCATGTCATGAAAAAAAGAAGAGTACAAGTAAAGCTCAAAATCACCTTTCAAATTTCATCAAAATTTTTATGTCATCAACAAAGAACTATCCAGGCCACTAACCCGTTTGTGCAATTTTATATGAGCAAACCTTGAAATAAAAAATAGCAAATACCACCTACAAAACCTTGAAATGCAACAAATTATGTAAAAATAATTTTTGTAGATAAAGTCCAAATAAGGTTTTAAAAAAAAAAAAAAAAAAAGATGGTTGCGCCTAAGTCAAGATTAAACTGGCAAAAGCTTTATAAGCTATTCTGATTCTTCAAAAATTTGTGTACCAACAATCAAATAAAAATGTAGAAGAATTAGGAATAAGAAATACAATAATGTTAAATAAGAGTCATTATTTATCCATTTATCTTATCACATATGGCAGATTTGAAAGGCAAAACTCAAAAGAGGAAAAAAATTGAATATAATCACTATCAATTATCGCTCAACAAAAATTTATCCTTCTAAAAAAGGCACGAAATAGCAATTAACGAATGAAAAATCAACACCAATAAAATGACAATGTTACGATATAGATTGTACTATTGTAGAGAAAGCAACAAAGGCTAACGGTGGAGTTTTTTCTCTTCTCTATTTGACAGTTTTTTGGGGGTGAAGTGGGGAGAGAGAGAGCGTTAGGTTTTTACTCTTCACTTTAATCATTTGGATTTTAGGTTTCTCATAAATAATGTACCTTTTAACTTAAAATAATCATAAAATTTTATGTTTTAAAGTTACTACAATATATAATTATACATATATATATACACACACATATAATAAATTTTTTTTTGGGACCCCTACAATGTTAAGGCCATGTGCTGTTGCTCAACTCGTATACCCTCATGGTTGCCTTTTTTCCTTCCAAATAATTTATGAATTTAATCTTTCACATAAAATTAATCTAATGATCTAGATTTATTTTATTAATGCAATTAAAAATATCAGAATGAACCCTTCTTTATACCCTTACCACTCACCACCTAAAAATCCTGCTTACACCCCATCATAAGCAACAAGACAATGTGTTACATGGATATGTGACAATCAATAATTGCCGCGCTGATAGGATGACGTCAGGTGTGTATCATTAGTTTAATGTCAATGAGATTAGTAGACATCACTTTCGACTTGGAAATTTGTATGAGTCGGAACCGTCAAGAATCTCGTTATATTCAAAATCATGCCCGCAAAACACCCAATTATAAGCAACACGACAATATATATATATCAATGATTTCTACGCTCATAAGATGAGGTAATATGTAATTTATTCATCGAAGATACCTATTTTTTGCCAATGAGATTGGGAGACATCAGTTTCAATTTGGAAACTCATGAGTGGAAATAAATATTTTAGTGAATTATAAAAAATCGCACTGTCTCAAATGGTGACACATTTTAAAATTTCTAATAAGAAATGAATACTCAAAGAAAAATAATATTAGTTTAGTTACTTTATATCTAAAGACATAATCCAATTATAGAAAAGATTAACTGCATGGAAAATATATGAAACAAATTCAAGATCAATCTAATTGATGCTCTGCCACTATTTTCACTCCAAAACGAAGCAAGCAACTAACATAAACATCAACCGTGTCCTCGTTTTGTTCGTTAGAGAGGCTCAAGTTTTTTTCTTATCAGTCACAACGAAACTACAAGTTCAAATGCTCAAAGCCAATTTGAAGTCAATGTCTGATAGATTTGTCGTTGCCAATTGGATAAAGGCTCCCTGGATCTGGTAGAAAAGGGGCTTGCTTGCCGAAGTATCCAGATAAAACAATTCGTCACCTTGACTCAATACCTCCAATGATGGCAAAGGTCAAGGTACTGGAGATGTTAAACGAAAACGGTATCATGATACAGAGAATGTGCTCTCATTTGATTGTTGCACTATTCAAATCAACAAATCAAGATGACGACGTGATTGCTTAGGGTACATGCTAAGGCTTAGGTAGCATAATGATTCCACTATGATCGAACTCTCCAACCAATCAAATTATTTCAAATGGGCAATGACAAGTAATTCTAGAGTGAAATACTATAGCTTGACATGACTAAAGCAACAACCTCGAATCTATCAGCTTATATAAAGAGATGAAGAGCACAAG